GGATTACCTTTTTTTTCCGGGGGGGCGAACTTCCGGGGGAAAGTTTCACGGTTGGACTGGATCCCTGGGCGATCGAAGGCGACATTAAATTGTGGAATTTTTCATTACGAAAATGCTCTTGCGAAACGCGATATCTCGTCGAAACGTGACGGCAGCAATATCCCCCCAGCCGCGATAACGGCGAACGCTATCTCGGATGACATCGGTCCTCTTGTCATCCGATCCCCCAGTCGGCCGGTCCTCCCGTCATCCGGTCCTCCATTCGACCAGTCCTCCTTCGAGTTCCCGTTCGCATCCCGCGAGCCATCTGCACAGTTTCTTGGGTATGTCGGTCGATGTACGTCACGGATAAGTCCGTTCTCCGTTTCGGATAAGCCAGTTTCTCGTCTCGGATAAGCTACTTTCTTACATCCGTCCCGAGCGGATGTCAAGGAAAGAACGTAAATCGCTTATCTCTGGGGGGGGGGGCCTCTAAAGATGTCCATCGAAAGAGAAAAATTCCCGTTCGTTTCCCCTTCCTGGAAAAAGCCATCAGGTCGCGGAGGGGAAAGCGAAAGGCAGGTGATACACGGAGTAATGACGGAGCGACCGCAAAAGGAGGCAGCTGCACCACGTGCCGCGTAATGAGCCCCCAGTGTGAACTAATAGCCTGGCTACACGCACTCGGCGGGACGGCCGAGCCAGACGGCAGCGACAGATCACTCCGGACACCCGTGCATAACCCCAGATCCTTGCATAACCCCAGATCCTTGCATGACTCCAGATCCTTGTATGACTGTGCATCATCGCGAACTCGCGTGGACCTGTCGTGTCGCGCCGTGCCACCGTGTGCCATCGCTCGGTTTTCTTTCCGTCTGTTCCATCGTGACGTCATCATCGAGTGGTCGTTTCTCTCGCTACGGCGAGTCGGCAGGGTTTTCATTCGCTCTAAGTAGTTGCCCCCATTCACCCCATTGTATGAATTGTCCTCCGACGTCATTTCGAGAGTGATGTTGACTTTAAGCTCGAGCGGGAGTCGATGTCGAGATGGAGAAAGGGGGGGGGGGGGCTCCAGGACCTCAATTTCTTTCTCTGATGAAAGCGAAAAATTAAGTAATGACTTTATCGATGCTGGCTTTCTCCTCACCTCAAAATCCATCTGGCTCGACCAGAGAACGGAGTCCCCATTCCTCCCATTGCTCCACCCCGCTCGCCAATCATTCGCGGGCCGTCCCAAGGGTGACTCGGGTCTGCGTTGCTTGCAGAGGGTGTCTCTCGGCGTGCATCCCCGAGAGGAAGCCAGTTGCACCCGAGAAGAAGCCAATTGCGCCTGAGAGAAGCCATCTAGAGCATATGCCGATTCAAATACATTTAAATAACATCCATCCGGTGCACGACCCGCCAAACTTGATAATTCCCTAATTAACTTAAAAGTTACTTTAAAAGTTACCATTAAAGTAACTTTTAAAAAAATTCGAGCATTGGAAACGCGCAGCATGACCGCGATTCCATTTTTCTCAGGACGAGGAAATCGCGAACGGACCGAAAGAAGACATGGATTTGGAGCTGCTGAAGAGACTGAGTTCGGAGAAGCCGGTCGTCCTGGAGGAGTCCAAGGGGAAGGGGAAGGCCCCTCCGCCTCCACCCCCGGTGAGGATTCCCTTTTCCCCCGCCGATCCAAATAGTTTTAGGAGCTGCGAGATTCGTCATCGCTCGTCTGAGTGGATTCATTAATTCACAAAAATTTCGGATTTTTTTTTCTTTTTTTGTTTTCTTTTTTCCTTTTTTTTGTTGTTTTTTTTTGCACACATTTTTGGTTTGACAATCTGATCGCAGATCAGATCGTTCTCATATTTCCGTTC